GAGGGCAGGACACGGGCCTCTGAGGCCTCGAGGTGGGAGCCCCGTTCTGGGAGTCACGGGCAGGGCTCTGGGTCGCCACGGAAGGCCCTGAAGTGTCTTCTGTGACGTGCGCACTTCGGGATTACTCAGAGGCGACATATTGTTTTTTTCAGAGACTGGCCTGGCTATGCTGCCAAGGCTGGTCTCGAACTCCTGGCCTCAACGACCCTCCCGCCTCAGCCTCCTGAGTTGCCGGGATTACAGGCACGAGCCGCCACACCAGGCTTTTCTGCTTTTTAACATAAACAATTTTCTGGTTGTTAAAATGTCTGCACTAAACATTTCCAGTGTATGAAGTCCCGTGGGGCGCACACCGTGATCACTGAGGGTCGCTTGTCCTGGGTCACGTGGGGGGGTCTCCCGGCTCTCGCTCTGAAGACGAGGCTGCGGCGGAGCCTCTGCATTTTGCGTGTGTGAGATCTTCTTGCCCTGAGTCCCGGAAGCAGGGTCACCAGCTCACGAGTGCGTCTCTTTAAACACAGTGCCAAGTGGTCAGCTTGCACGAGAGCACGTTTCACTGCCATGTCACAGCACTGATAGGCGCACACCGCCAACGTGCACACAGATGCACAATGCGGATGTACATGTGTTGCAACATGACACACACCCCTACATTCATAGGCCACATGTATACAATGTGGCGCCCGCCTCCATTGTACGCACTGGCAGCGGTCAAGGTGTGTATGCGCCGGCCTTGCGCCCCCACGCCCTCGGGCCCTCGGTCATAAGGCTCAGCCTGGAAGCAGGGCTGTTGGCTGAGGGACCAGGTGATCACTGGACACTGAGGTGACCAATCGCGATGCAGAGACCAACCTTTGAACCCGTGACCTCACTGCCCACAAAACAAACTGCTCTGGGCCCGGACAGGGGCTCCCTCTCCGGACGAGGACCAGCAGCCATAGACAGGGAGGCGTGCAGGCCGCAGCCCCGGCCACCTGGAACGCCGGACAAGCCAGTCGGGCAGTCGGGTCCTGGCGGAGTTCAGCGGGGTGTGGGAAAGGCGGCCTGAGCCAGCAGGAGGAGAGCCTCAGGGGCAGAGGGACAGGGCGGGAGAAGTCACAGTGGGGGAGGAACAGGGCAGCAGCGCGAGTGGGTGGCCGCGGCAAATCACGCGATGCCAGGGACCTGGGAGGCGGAACTCCGGATCACGGGCTGCCACGTTGGGGGACGACCTGGGACCCAGGGCTGTGGTGCTGCTGTGGGAGGCCCTGTGGGGAGGGGCCGTCAGCGTCCAGGCTTGCTTCACTACTGCCGTTTCTCTTTGTGAACGACCTATGTTCCAGGCTCCGCAGTGTGTGGGGGTCTCCTGGGCCCAGGAACGATGATTGAACATTAGGGTCAATGTCCCAACAGCCCTCCCAGACTCTCTCTGAGCCGCAGCCATGGAGGTCTGGGGTGCCGGGACCCCTCTGTAGGCCTCGCATTTGCCACCAGAGCCTGACTGAGGACCTTGCGGAGCACGCTGTCCAGCGCCCATTTTACAGAGCAGCAACGAGGGCCAAGGAGGGCAGCAAGCTGCTCAAGGTCCCAGAGCAAGCTGGGACAGAGCCGGACAGTACATCGCCTTCCCCAGCTCAACTGGCGAGAGGCCTGGGTGGGGGCTGCGGGCAGAAGGGGACTGGGATGGCCTGGTCTCGTCAAGAGCTTGCATCTGGCAGGCCCCGGGGGAGGCCCCAGGTTCCCTCTTGCAGAGGCCCAGAGCCCCCTGGCCCAGCTCCCTTTGTTGCCACCCATCCCTGGTCGCAGGGCCCCAGCTCAGCTGGGCTGCAGGAAGGCGGGCACATGTCCTTGGCGGGTGGCATCTATGGCTGGCCCACCCCGTGGCAGACCGGTCCTGGTGGATTCAGAGTGCGGCAAGGGGCTCTGGGCTCTGGAAGGAGGGAACGCTGGGGGCTCCCCGGGCCTGGCCAGATGACAAGTCTCGTGAACAGGAGGACCACAGGCATCAGTCCCCTTCTGCCGCCGCGAGGCCGCCAGCCAGGCCTCGTGGCAGATTGGGTGGGAGGAAGATGTGACTTCCTGGCTCTGTCCCAGGCTTGCTCTGAGGACTTCTGAGCAGTTGGGCTGCGCCTTCCGCTTGGGGCCTTCGGTTGTGCTCCGTGTAAAATGGCCGCCTGGTGACCAGGCTGCGTGCCCAAGCGGTGCCGTCAGTCAGCTCTGGTGGGCCTGCGAGGCCTTACAGGAGGGGCGGTCCCCGGCACGCCAAGCTCCTCTGCGCATCAGAAGAGTTCTGGGAGGGGCTGTTGGGAATTGACCCGTAACTGTGCTCCATCAGTGTGCTGGGGCCCAGGAGACCCCACAACTGCAGAGCCGTGGAAAATAGGTACGTTGGGCACAAAGAAAAGGCGAAGTAGTGAACAAAGCCTGGGCGAGGGATGCGGCCCGCTCCGCCGCCACAGCCAGCGGCTCCCGCGCACACAGCACCACAGGCCTGGGGTCCAGGTCTCGTCCCCACGTGGCAGGCCAGTGTCCGGAGTTCCGCCTGCAGGTCCTGGCGCATCGCGTGATTGCGGCCACCCCACTCGGCGTGCTCTGGTTCCCCACCCGCCGCCGCCCATGTGATTCGTCCCGCCTGTCCGCTGCCCCTGAGGCTCTGGCCTCGCTCGTGGCTCGGCCCCTGCTCTCCGCACACCGCCTGACTCGCCAGGGACCCGGCTGCGCGGATGGCTTGTCCGAGGTCTCAATGTGGCGGGGCCTGCGCGACTGCGACCCTCGCCGTGTCTATGGGCT